TCAGTGGGATGTACCTGCATCACACAGTTGATGTTCACTCGAGGTCTCGAACCCAGAGTAATAAATGTTAAAATAAAGCCAGAACAAATATTGATGCAGAATAATATGAATTCATTATATTTCGAGGTTTCTCATCAGCTGCTTACAACCAAATATGTATTAGAATTTTACATTGAGATAAGAAATAGTGTGGAACAATTGACATAAGTGAATGTAAAACAGCGGAATGACTAAGGTTATCAATGGTAACTCTGTTTATACATATGTGCAAGAACAGGTCAGAGGTTATTTGGTGTTTAGATTCAAGGAAACATTTGGTTGTAAGCAGCTGACGAGAAAACTCGAAATATAATGAATTCATAATATTCTGCATCAATATTTGTTCCGGCTTTATTTAAATTCATAAAGGGAATTAACTGCATGTAATAAATGTTTGTTACATATTTGTTTTTCCTTTTTTTAAATTCTCTATGATCATATGGATATTAATTATAGGAATTATACTTGAATTTATTCCCTTTTGAAATTGTATCACTAGTAATATCTGAATATCTTTGTTTATAAATATTTCGAATTAAAATGAAATCTGTGATTCATTTCTTATCTGATGTCAAACAATAAATTGTTTGCTAAAAAACTTTTTTAAATATTTATCAATGTCCACAATAAAACAAGAATGAAATGAACAGGTTTATCAACAACAACAGAAAAAAACTTTAAGAAAGTCAAACATCAAACGAACTTATTTAATATAGTAGTAATAATAATAGTGTGTGTGAGTTACTTATACCTATATAATTAGTATATGACTGTGGTCAAGCATAGAATGTATTTCAGTAGAAGATCGATAAGGAAAGAACGGAAAAAGGATGCAATTGATATGAAAATGCACGAACAATGAAATTTGAGACTGTGGACTGATATTCGCAAAGGGAACAGTCAAGTTTGAGAAGATGGATTGATATTTTGCAAATTAACTACTCACTATATAATTCTCAGATTTTATTGAGATGCTCTGTAATTTCGTGTCATCTATATTCGATTGTCCCCACTGGTTTTCTTGTTCACTACAATAACATCAAGAAAGAATCTTATTGATGATGAAATATTTACACTTTGATTTATAGGTTTAATATGGTTACAATAATTAAATGAGGTCAGTAAGTAACTGATAAAATTTAAAAGAATACTACAAATGATAAGTGTATTAAAGTAATGTGTATTTGTATAAATAGAAGTGTGACCATATTTAGGTCATGATTATATATTCTATTAAATTATATGTATATACATATATATAATGATAATCTTATGAGAAATAAATTTTAATTAGCAAAACAACAACACACACACTTAGTTAATAGGTCAGATTATAATGTATAATTTAGTAAGTTATTCGCTGTAAGGCTAACCATAATTACTTTGCATATAATTTTAAACTTTTATATTCATTAGCATATCTGTTCTTTTCTTAATGTTAGGTTCAATGTTAAACTAATAATTAGTTACTTTTATTGAATTAACATTATCAGATGAATATTGTTCGACATCTGTTAATATGGAACTATCATTTGATTAATTTTTATTAAGAATAGTAAAAATAAGTAGTTTATACGTTTTAAATAAAAAAATAACTTGAAGGGGAAAACGAAGATATTGATTCTCTACTTTATAGTGTATACCTTTATGTTCCTTTCTTTCGTTTTTAATGTAGTGTACAGTAAATACGTTAATTACAAAGTATTTTGCAATATGTTTTGTGAGTTTATGAAAATCTGTCTCAAAATACAAGTTATTATTAGAAGTTTTGATCTTGATTATGTTTTATACAGGTATTGTGTTCTCATTAACTACATTTCGATTGATCATAGGAAACAAATAAAGTAAGACTATATACTGTTTATATGTTAGTTATTAAAATGTAGAAATCCATCTATTATTAACATATAATTTAACGTTTAAGTTTTGTAAAAGTCAATCATTAAACGATTTATACTAGTTGAGATATAATAATTTCTGGATACTTTACATTTGTTGACTCCTTATCAAGAACACTTGGAGAATGTTTAGTAAAACCTTACTTATTTAGCTTAACAATGATTTCATTTTCGCTTATTAGTAATCGTATTCTACAAAAAGTATTGGTATCGGAATAATCTTGTGTTTTATCATCTTGACTACGTATGACGCATTGAACCAAAAATGTGAAATTTAATATCCAAAATAATACCATATGGTTTTCTCATATTTCGAAATTCACACGCACACACATACATATATAGATACTCAATACGCTTCATGAGAGTTTTCTATTTCAGACATTTGACTGTCTATCAGATTTTATAACACACTACTATGCAAGTGTAGACAGGGTTAGTTAAACGAATTTTTTTAAAATCACTGCTGTGTACGTAAGGAATTTTTTTATTCATGTAAATGGCTTTCAAAAAGAAGGAAATATGAAATCGTTAATTATATTTTGATTTAATAAGCAACAATTAAACATTGAAATCAGGCTGTAATGCTTTAGGATAGTGACTAACTTATAGCATAAAATTCGTCTTACAAATAACTGACCAGTGAGTACTAACCGATTTTCTGTTTATCTAGTCTTTTAGCACTGATCGAGACCTACCTGTAACCTCAAGTGATCTGATGTTTCCTATAGAAATCAAGTCCTCATCACCCAACTTTACGGGCTATGTCAGTGTTGAGCGATTCTAGTCACATCTGACTCCATGTGGGACTGAAACATTTACGACTGATTGATCACTGAGTATAAAACACCAACTACCTAAAATCATGTGTTTTTTAAAGTCAGTTTTATCCATCTTTATTTCGCATCAAATATTATTCACATAATTGTGTGAAACTGCTATGTAAAACAATAACTATTTGATTATGAAATATTCCGTGATCGAATATTCAACCACTTGAAACATTGCTTATTTATGTTTTGTTAGAGGTCATCAGTCGGCCACACGAATCATTCCACAATTCATGTGGAACATATTTTTGTTACAACATGAATAATCTAGAATGAGCTTATTTTTATGGTAAACAAAGCATGAGTTGATAGCAATTTTCGGTCATAAACTAACGTAACACAAACGAACTCTATTTCGATTCATAAAAACTCATATCTCTTTATCTAACAAAGAAGATAGAAGTCAATAATATTGTAATTTTATCGTATTCATTCAATAATTAGTAAATGCTCATCGGTTCAGTTATAATAAAAATGTAAACTACTGTTTGAAAAGTGGATATAAAGTTTTAATACATTTTTGACTAATTTATCAAATGATATAATTGTATCCCCCAATAAATATTATTATCACCACGTTGGTTTTTTAGCATTTCAAATGAACAACTGTTAACAAATTTAAAGATTAAACATAGTTTTAGGCAGCTCGGTTCATAAAACCCAACCAGAACATCTGTTGCTTGTAAATGATTCGAATTTTAATGAATAAACTAGTTAGAATCAAAATAATTAAACATTTAAAGTAAATTAGTCTGTAGATTCTATGTTTACTTGTATCTCAGTCATCATTTCAATAAACATAATTAAAACCAGGTGGCTGATGACCATGCATGTACGGTAAGTATTCTGTCATAATTGAATTAAAGTCACTTTTAAACCAAATAGATTTATAACATGTATTACCCATGACTGTGGTTACTAGGTGCAATCTGTTCCACTATGTATAAAAGCCACGTCACTATGTCAAAATGGATAAACGAGATTAATCTGGAGTTAGATAATTAAGTTGGTAAAAAGTGAACTAAAATATATAGAGTTTTGAATTCAAAACGATGAATGTGTATACTAAATATACGAAAACCAAATCACAAATCTAATATGTGATACCTCCAGTGGAAACAACGTTAAAGTTGCTCTTGGAAAGGAATCAGATGGAAGATAACATTTTTTCCCAATTACTAACACACATTCACAAGGTATCGACATATAGCTTGTACAGTAGTTTGTAATTAATGAAGGATAAAGCGAATGCTGTGAATTTTCGTAAATTTGTAAGTAGCATTGATTTGTGGACGTGGCTATTGATTTATTTGAGGGTTAACAAAAATTTATCATAGTTGACAACTCGGACAAAAATTCCTTAAAAAACCATTAAAAACCAGGAAATACTGGAAAGCCTTTTCGTTCTGGAAAAAGACTCCTCAAAATTATTCATCCACAAACCCAGCACAGAGAACCGAGCTCAAAACCTTAGGTTTCGCATGCGAACTCTTGACCCCCTAACCGCTGAGCTGGCACACACTGGTTTAGTAATATTACGAGTGAACCAATTTTAAGCATTTAAACACTGGATATCAGCGCAAGAGTTATAAGGTTAGGATTTTGCTCGTAAAACTGAGTCTCGAGCTCAGTTGTTTGTAGAAGCCTGATAATCTCCAAAAACTTCATATAGTGATCAAAAATCTTCATCTCTTTAGTTATTGCACTGACCGCTGTCTAAATGTCCCTTTAATTACCTATTTAAAATAATATGTTTTGTACAGTTCTTAAGAGAATTTATTTCTATATTGTTTTATGCTTAGTTGTACTTACTAACACGGAAATCTGACTTTCGATACTGTCTTATCATTTTGTCAGCTTGTTAGGATTACAAACTGCATGACAATTTAATTTAGACATGTTTAAACCAAATACACTTTGCTTTAAGACAGAACGATTCCGAAATTTTGTTTTCCGGCTTTGGTTCTTTGATACTTTAGAGTTATGAGTGCTTTCCAATAGTTTTTGTTCTATAATAAATATTTTTTTGGGATCAAAATGTTCTTTACGGGTACTAAAAACTCAATTCATGTATATACGCATATTTCATCAATAGTTTTAATGAAAACAATGATTACGATATTGATAATGACCAATCAAAATTCAATATAACTGGCCAATCAGGTTCAAGAAAGAATGACCAATAATAATTCTATAAAATCGTTACTTTAAAACTAAAATTATTAATATTTTTATTCAATTAAATTGGAATTATAAAATAGTTTTGTTTAAGATATATTGTATTTGTTAAGTATTTTTTAGTAAAGAAAGATGCCTTCTTATGATCCAATGGATTGCATAACCCACTTGTTACTGTCAATTTATTAAGAAATTTGAATGTATGTTTCAACGTACATTATTATTGTAAAACTGAGAACAATTGAACTTGATTTGATTTGCAATACTTCATAATAGTTTCTGATCTAAGTCAATATTTATATATACAGATTCCTCTATGTTTAGTAAGTGTTTAGTTGGATTTTTTACATAACAAAACAAATAACTGGTCAGTCATAATGAAATGAAAAAAAAGATCAAATGATTAGAATTCTATTATATTTATATAAACGTTATTTAATTGGCTATGTAAACTGTTTAAATCATCGTATTCAAATATTGTATGTTTTATTCAATTTTCATACAAGTTTACACATAGTTTTAGGACAATTCTAATGATATGTGCATTATTATTGTCAAAAATAATTGATTACATTTTTGATAGGATGCAAGTATCCGATTGATATTTGTTATCCACTTGGATATATACGTAGTAGAAGATATGTGGAACTGGATTTGGATATTATATTACATTTTATGGATAAACAGTATGTATTTGAGCATAGTAAGTTTCGCAAAAACTAAAAAAATTACTACTTTTTTATAGTGTATCTTAAATATTTATTATAAAACATAGTTTATGAATACGCCAATTATAAGATCACTATTTTCTTCGAACTATTGTCTATCTGTAAGCTCAATTATTCATGATCCACATATGTCACGTCTGATCTGTGCAACAATTTTGTAACCTAAAGATACTATCACCTTCTTGAACATTAGAAAAAATTGTTCTTATACACAATGAGCTACTTCATTCTCTACAACATCTAAACGTTAATTACTTAAGCTACAAGAAATTACTGGTTATTTGAGGTGTCTTACCTTAAGACATTCCCATTGTCAAGTAAGGATTCAGTAAAAAAAGTATTTACTGAACAAATGACATTATGAATTTTATAAAAATGCGTTTTAGCATGTTTAGAAACGATTAAATGGAATATAATCCAAGTGAAACTTTGTTTTTATATTAGTGTTAAACAGTTATTCACTCAAAAATGAATGTTCATTATATGAGCTGCCCACTAAAATTTTGATTAGAAACATGGTGTATGTTCACATTTTATTTAGCTGTAGTTTCAATGAATGTTTTGCATTAGTTAAAACATTAAAGTTTCAGTTACTCCGTCAATACACCAATCGTTTTACAGTAAATAAACTAGTGTTAGATTCATCAACTAAATTAATCACAAAACAACATGATTCGTTCTCTTACTATACAGTATAACCCATACTAAAACGAAACGGCCGTCCAGTGCTTCCAGGTTTTCAATGGTGGTTTAAAATCCATCGATTCATGATCTCAATAAAAAATTTAACAATATTCACAATTTTACACTGATATACAATAAAATCTTTTCTGAATATAAAATGGTCTTTAAAGACTGGATGAACTATATAGTAATAAAGACATATCCAATTGTTTTATAATTTTGATCTTCATGAATTAATGTGAAATAAATGATCAGGTATGTAATCAAGATATTTAAGAATGAACTCGATTACGGTCATTGAGGTATCATAATCCATATTATTGAGTTAATCAAAATTGTAAATTATAGACAATACTTCAGCTTTATCTTCGTATCAGAATTAGTGTTTTAAAACACTTTGTATAGAATCTTCAAAACTATTTATTAGTATAAATTAAATGAAGTGAAGTCATTATATGTGAAAATTATATTTGAAATAATCTCAGCGATTGAGATTTAAATAATTCCAATTTTTCGTCCGGCTAACTTGTCTGAACTTCTTCAGGGTAATAATGAAAATCAAATTCAAACTATTCATTCTAATCTTGACGAATATTCGTATAAATGAAGTGAATTTTCTATAACAATCGGGTGAATTCAAATTCACTTGGTGTTGTTTGGCTTGTATCTTCCAATGTATGCAGGTACATTCAGCTGACGAGTCCCAAATAGGACGAAACGCGCGTCCTGGATTTCACTGCTAGCCACTATCCATCAGTGTTTTCAAAAAGCTTGTAAATTAAGACAATATCGGGGCATAAGCACAGTATGTACATATGCCAATAACAGACTGATCAATTGCAGTCTTAAACGTCAATGGGAAGATACAAGCCAAACAGTACCAAGTGAAAAACTGTTTTGATTTGGTTTTATATTGAGATGTTAGATTGAAATATCAAAGCTGCTAGAAAAAAAATTAATGAAAACTTGTTAGTTATTGTCTATTAGTTTTAACACAATAAAAGAGAAACAAATAGTAGCTAACATAGATCGAATTAAAAAGTTGAAAAATATTCGATTATTATTTATTGGCATTGAAATTAGGCGGGAAAAGCCGAGCGATTTCCATGATAGATTTGTTTGTCATTTAAACTTTATTGATTATTTATTTCGACTGTTACTGACCTTGTATGAATACTTTAAGGACGATCACTAATAATACCGAGGGTGTAACTGATAATATTTGATGATTTTTATCGACGGAAGGTTTTTCAAGTAAAATTTTATCGTATTGCAAAAACTAGTAGTTATTTGGACTGTGTAGTTAAATGGGTAACGCGATGGCGTTTGAAGCAAACTGTACTGGTTTCGAGTTCTCGAGTAAACATAAACTCCGAGTTGAGGGTGCATCCTAGCTGAAAAGTCCCAAATAAAATGAAACGCACGTTCTAAATTCTACAGCTAATTGCCAACCCTATCTGCTTATAATGCAAGTGATGTTTTGTTTGTTTACGGATAAAATAACGTTACAAGAATAAAAGATTTACAGTATCCAATAGATTTTGGTATTTTTCTTAATAACTGATGTTCATTTCATACTTGTATTATTTTTCAGCTATCATTGAAATTATTTAAAGTTTAAATCAATCATTTCGAAATTCTTTATATCACTTTTTTCAATTACTCAATAGTAACAACTCACTTGGCAGCAATTTAATCCGCCCACACAAACACATAAACATGTTTGTTGACATATCACAATTTGGTATTTGTCTTTGAAGACATATTTGAGGAAATAAATTTCTGATCTCAATTATTTGTTCTTTCACTCCACAATTATTGATATTTTAAGATAATATCAGTAGAGAAAAAACTGTAACTTAGTAATGTTTTAAAATTACTTTATGAAAATATATGTACAGTAGTCCGTTAACAGATGGCCCGAGAACAATTGCCAGTTACTATACTATGTGAAGTAAATTTCGTAACCCTAATGTGACATTATTTTTTAAAAATTTAATTCACTACATATAATTTTGTGTGTCAAGTGAACGGTTTAGGCTTAAGTCTATTCTCAACGATTCTATTTTATGTATTACACTGTAACAGAAAAATTTTCGAAATTAAGAATAAACCCGTAAAGATTATGTTAGGCGTGTACAGGATGAGAAGTACGATAAACGATGAGTAAGCATTTTGATGGTAATTATTTTTACACAACTGCTTCAAGCATAACGATAATAGTTTGGAAATAAACCCAGTATTATTTTCTATGAAATTACCACTTTGGTAACTAAGATTCCTTTAGATAATAAACGATCTTCTTGTATGTTTCTCATAGGCGTCTCATCAACAAGATATCTCGGCTATCGAATTACTTAACATAATGAATCCTTTTATTTACCAGAACGAAACAGAATTATATAAAGAGTAAAAAGTTGAGTGGTTATAGTTCAGTCCAGAAACTGATTCTGCGCGTAGTAAAATAAAAATCATTCCAGTTTCAAAACAAAGACTCTAGAACTTCTGTTAATTGTAAATAACATTCAAATTGAATGTATTATGAAAATCACTGGTTTAACCAGGATAACTATGGTAGGTTTTTTAAATCCTAAAACAACTAGTTAGAAAAAAAGGAAAGTAGGTGAACATATCAACATTATTAAACACACTGGTATCATCTTTTAGGATTCAAATCTTCCGTTGAGTTATTCTAGGTAACTCGGTGGCTTTACAAACCAACTTAAACTATAAAAGCTTTTTATAAGTTTAGGTCTTAACAATACCACTTTTTCTAGTCGATTCTCTTAAGCTTTTGGTTACCATCACATAAAAATGATTCATAATTTTAGGATTTTTTTAAACATAAACATAAACGAAATGGTTAATGTGTAATGTTTGGCATGAAGTTTCTTTGCTTATGACTGACCAACTTTAGTGGTTGTATATCTGAAAATAATGTTTTTTGGTAGAAAATAGTGAGTTCAATTAATCACGCTGTAGATTTTTAGTTTATTTTATATCAGTTTACTTTGTCGTTTTCTTCCCGTTCATCACTTTTGAGTTGAAGAAAATGGTACTATTTTAATAGACAAATAATTTCCACTTAAAAATCACCTTTACATATTATAACATAAACATTTTAACTATGTTACTATATCCACATTAAAATCCGTAGCTAACTTATTTATTTTATTTAGCTTTTTATTCGTAAACGCATAATCTTTTATTGTTATTATTTGTTCTACATAATTCAGTATTGTAATCTTTCTATTACGTCATCATGTTTCCTTATTAATTTTGTGTCCTCATGGAATTATTATTTAAATGACAGTTAAATTTACGAGTCAATCTAAGCTAGATCACCAATGAAAACCTGAAAGCACTGGATGGCCGTTTCTTTGCACCTTTGGACTCCTCAGCAGTGCACATGCACGGTCCATGAGCGAGACTTAAACCCAAGGCTTTCAGTCTCGCGCACGAATGCTTGACATCTAGACTACTGAGCTGGCACCATATGTATATATATAATTTCTATTATAGAATTTCTAAATATTTTAAAGACTCACCAGTCAAAATAACTAGAGTTTAAATTATCAGAGCAATCATTTTAATTCTGATCTGATTTTCTAAGCACCAATTTTCATCAATTACTTAGTGGTAATTTTACAAATAACAGTTAAGATTTATTTTCAATTGTTTGATTTCAATCATAATTTGTATTTTTACCCTTACGTAACTAGTTTTAATAATCAATCAATTATGTAAGTTTGTTTTAATTGTAATTTTGCATCTGTTGAGCTAATAACTGATTATAATCCTTGAAAATATTACTAAATTGATCTACCATCATTTTTAATATTTGTGTAGACTCATGACGAGGAACTAAATGAAAAGAAGCATAATTTTGCTTAACTTGCACATTTAATGTTTCAATAAGGGCTGTTATGCTCGACTATATTCCTAGTTTATTCACATTATTTGTAAGTTGAGTTATTTGTACATTTAACACACACACACATTTCAGTCTTGAATGGGTTTTCTTTTAAATCATTAGATTAGTTTTGAGATAATCAAAATTTAATTCTTTGAAACCAAACGTTGGAATATTATTTGAACAAAATTCGCATATTGTGATTTAGAACAACATAGATAGGTGAACAATATCGCTTTCCATTAGATCCTCATCAAGCTTTGCTCTAATATACTGTAATATTTATATGCATATACGAAATTATTAAACGAACCAAAGCAGTTTATGGAATAATAAATTGCTTAAGCAAAACAGAAAGAGCATATATGCCAAATTTTC